TATGTATATATATATATACATATGTATATATAGTCCCTACTTAAGGGGGCTGATTCACCTATACTTATAAATGATTCCAAATGCACCCATGCTTTCTGATTTGTTGATTTCAGGTTTGAGTAGTCCTCATATTTTTCCCATTGACCATTTAATGTGTTTGAACTCATTGCCATTTGTGTGTTTGAATCAGTGAGCTAATTTGCAACATAGCTTTATGAATAATCTGATGGTGTATGATACAGTGCTGTTGTATGATTTGTGTGACTATGTAGCCATATGTGTATAATTTCAATTATACACACATACATATTTATAATTTTAGTATAAACACACACCTTTCTGGATTGAATAACTTTATTGCATTTTACCTTGTTCCAGAATGATGACCCAGCCAGAAGCCAGCAATGTCTCCATGCTCCATCTGCTGTTTAGAGGTGACTTTGATCTGCTACCAAAAAAAAAAAAAAGAATAAACAAATTCCCAAACAAATAGTGTTGAGAGAACAGTCATCTTATACTAAGATTAGGGCTGAGGCACCCATGAGGGTCTCAGAACAGTGCCTGACACACAGTCAGGGTTTGGTCAACAGTCTTACTCTTCATTATTCCGTGAGCTTCTCATTGTTTAAAAACTAGGAACTCAGCTGACGTGAACCTAGAAAACGCAAAGCCAATTTCCAGATCCTCTTACATGTTATGGCAGGTGCTGACAAGATTGGTTTTGCCCATGGCAAAGAGAGAAAAAAAATGTTCAAGAGGAGATACCCTGGATTTCCTAGGTTGCTTCATGTCAACAGAGATCTATTTTACAGAGCAAAAAGGCAAAAGAACTGTTCCTAGGATTAAACATGCACTTCCAAGAACAATTATTTACATATTTTTTACAGAAGGAAGAAAAACTAACTCTGTTTGCCATTTTGGAAAAACAGATGATTTTGGAAGAGAAAATTTATTGTGTCATATTTTTCTTAAAGTGCCTACAGCACCTATGCCCTCTCCTGAAGGAAAAAACAAAAATAGTAAGAATTGTCACTGCTCATGCTTTTATTATTAGTATCAAGATATGCTATCTAAAGCTTGCATTAAGAATAATAATTTTAAAAAATCCTATAGGCAGCCATTACTATCATAAGATAACAAGTTTTCCTCTCTAAATAAATAAATGGTTATGATTCATATGTAGAAACCAATGTGCTTATTATGAGGTCAGGAAATGGGTTCTATTTTCATATTGTGTTGGTATGAAGACTATAATATTTATGAAAATACTTCTTCATGGTACAGCTAATAGTTGGTAATTGCCTCCTTAGATTTACTGTTAAAAGCTATTCATGTTGGGGTTTGAATGGAAAGCATTTAGCAAATGTTGGTAGACATTTTGCTTGGTGGATTTAATATCATTCTTAAAATAAATAGAGGATGTTTTTCTTGGTTGTGTTTCAACCGAAGGGCACTTGGGAGTAGGCCCCTCATGGCAGTGGGGAAGGCACAAGCCATGGAAGGGACCCCTCCACAGGCCAGCAAGCAGCACCGTGTCAACGACTCAGTTACCACCCCTACACGGGTCCACAAAGAAGCCTCCACTGTAGAGCCATGGTTGGAGCAGGAGGTCAGAAAGCAGGAGGAGCTGTAGCATGAGATTTGGGGATACTTTCTTTCCCATTCTCCTTCCAGCAGTTGGAGTTGTGAGACACTGCATATTCTGATAGCGTTGATTTTAATAGTGTGAGAGGAGGAATGGCAGGGCCTTGATTTGGGAGAAAGGGCATCCTCCTCTAAGTGCTAATCACATTGTGAAACTCACTGATACTGTTCTTGAGACACAGTTATCTCTTCAGAGCTGTATGTGCAGGGAAAATAATTAAGCACAGGTGCTTAACCCGTTCAGAGTAAATGGGAAGAGAAGGAAAACATGTCTTTTACTGGAAACTTCACAGCCCTTCCAGCAATCTGCTGTCAGGCCTGGAAGGGAAGGGGAGTCATTTAGCATGCTTTGGCCTTTATTTTCCCAGCACTTCTGATGTTGATGTGTTTAATCAGCTGTTTACTCCTATAGGTTGAGAATATTTTCCCTTCTATTGTTCCAAGGACTTTCTTGCCTTTGACCTTGTCTAAGGACGTTTGTTGATTTTTTTTTTTTTTGAGCACGTCTTTATTTAAAATTCTCTACTAATCTAAAAGTACTGGAAACATTTATGAAAATGACAGACTTCTCCTGTCTAACTGGGAGCATATCCAGGCAAGAGCTGCCCTGGCAGATAAGACCTACTTGGTGGTAAGAGTGTTAAATGAAAGATCTTTGCATCTGTTAGGGTGTTCAAACATCCCCTTCAGGCTGAACTTTTCAGCAAACTTTCTTCAGTTTTTTTGGAATCTGTATGGCTGATTTAGGAAACAGTTTAGTTCTTTGTGGTATGTGATCAAGTTATATAATTATAGTGGATGAAAATTTCATAATATTACCTTTTGGATATTTATCATGGTATAACTTGTTTTAGATCCATGCTGTATATGGAATAATTACTATATATTTGGAGTATGGAATTAGAAACCAGACAAAATTTATAGGTAAACATGTGTTTGCTTTTTAATACATCTAGTTTTGCTTTAGGAAAAGGAAACTATTTACAGGGGTAAAATGCACATGGCTATTTCTTTTAACCAGTGCCTAAGCTGTGTGTTACATAATTATGAGGTATGAGCATTATTATATCCATTAGTGGTCACATTCGATTCATCATATCTTTCCTTATTTTATTCATAATTACATGCATCATTTATTTGAAGGCATTTATTTGGTTATTTAAATGAAATTATTGAATTTCATTATAAAAGTCCGTGTAATATGATAAATTTGACTGTAACATAGGCAAGTAGCTTGTATGTAAAACCGAGTTGGTATTTCTACTGTTTTGACTTCATGTAGTTAGCATATTCTGGATTCTCCAATATAATCTTTTATGGATCAGATAAATAGCATTTTAGCAATACATGCTAAAATAATTTTAAACTATGGGAAGCATGAATGCAGTAGCCGAATGTAAAATTTAAACCAGGAGTTAAATTTTAGCTTTTAGGAAACTTCGTAATAAATCTGAGTGCAAAAGCAGCTACTGTCCAGGTGTTTAATATTGTAAATAGAATTCATTTAGCATTAGATTTTACCTGACTACAAGAGAAAACACTATGACAGGCTTTCTTTTTTTTTTTTTTTTTTCTGCACATGCACCTTGGTATGTTGAATAACCGTTACTTCTGGTCTGAGAGAGTACTGTAGCTGGTAACCCAGCCCTGTTTCTGCTGCATATATGAACAAATCCAATAGCAATCAACTGTTTTCTGACCCGGCTTCCCAAATATGGTAGATGCCTAAGCCCATGATTCCTTGCTGGCACTACACAAGATGAAATCCTAGGTGAGTTAGCAGTTTAAGCTGTCTCTTAGGTTTGACAAAGTGCTCTTTTGCAAGGAATTTAGACTGACATCCTTTCACGAGTGGGGGGGGGGGGGGGGGGGGGGGGGGGGCGGGGCGGGGGAGTGAGAGCTCCTGTATGGAATTTTGGTCCTTTGAAGCATTTAGTTGGGTTTTGTTTGCATCATAGGAATGGTGCTGTCATTTACTAAATAGCAGAGCTAAGGTAAGACCCTGTCTATCTGCTTTATTAGCTGATGTGGAATTGCTGTGGTTAAAAATAAAAATTAAAAAATAAATCATGCCAAGGTGAGAACTTAAAAGAAGGGGTACTTTTTTTTTTAAATAAAAAGAGCAAATAAACTAGTAACAAAATGAGTATACATGAGTATACAGACTTTATTTCAGACTGGGTACTAGCTTGCATTTGCACTTAAACAGTGATATCGGACAGACAAGATATTAGCCCATATAAGGGGATGCATTCTTTCAACATTACAAATCATCATAATGGCTAAGCCCCCGGCTTGGAAGTGAAGTGATTTTTCTGTCTAAAACATAGTTTCTTAACTGCAGCTCAGCTCCTAGTGTTACCGCTTAACTCATAGATTCTGGATTGATTAAGGTTATGAGTTTTTAAAAGGATAAGTTGCAAAGCAAGTTCCAGACTAAATGAATCTCTTCTCAAGACCCGTTTAAAAATGTTAATGGTGAAATATTATCTGGGTCCTAGCCAAAGAACTGAAGCCTTTGGCCTCCTAGCAATCCTTACAGAATCCCCAGCCAGGCTTTCATTGTTAAGCTGCTAATAGCTAACACGGTTGCCCATTTTCCCTCTACTTCATAGAAACAGCTTTTTTTTTTTTTTTTTAATCTTTTCCTGACCTGTTAGTAGGTAGGTGCTCTAGTAAGAAATGTGAAAACTGTCCATTCTCCTAAGTTTCGAGGCCTCAAAAAAAAAGTATTCGAAAAGAGTAAAAGATAACGTGCAACCACTCCCCAAAGATCTTAATTAGGAGCTACTGGCTTGGGAGGATGTGTGTGTGTGTGTGTGTGTGTGTGTGTGTGTGTGTGTGTGTGTGTGTGTGTGTGTGT